TTCTCTGGGGAGAAGGCATTCAGGATGCAACCAGAACGATGAGAAGGAGCCAGGCAGTGTGCGAAGATCCAGAGGGAGAGATATCCAGGCAGAGGGAAGAGCAGGTGCAAAGGCCCTGGGGTGGGAAGGTGCATGGCCCATCAGAGGAAAAGAAAGACACATTTTAAAGCAGAAAAATCTCAACTTGCCCAATGCTGCCATTTTATGCGCAGGGAAGCAAGGGCCAGAGGAGAGAGAAGCTGATTAGTCCAGTGTCAAGCAGCTAGACCTTCTCTCTCCTGGGCTGGAAAGTGTGAGGTGATGTGAATGGGTGAGGGTGACCCTCCTTGCTGCTAGGTGACCTAGGACCCAGCCTCCTTATCCATCGGCATGGCACCTTAACCATCCGCAGCTGAAAAGATGGCGTGGCTTGCGATTCCCCTCCTATGGGTCACTCACACGGGAGCACTGAGACCCAAAGGCTGAGACCCGGTCAGCTGCGCTGGACTGACTCTGAGGGTCACATCAGTCCGGACTTCTCCTCTAAGATGAGAAACCCAAGGACGAGCTGGAGGAACGGCTCTGATCGTGCAGTCAGTGCCTCAGTTTCCTCACTGAAAAGCAAGCTCAGGTCTCAAGTCTTGCCTTACTTTTGGCATTCACCTTGTCCTTGGGCAAGCAGCACACTAATTCAAATAGTTTAGAGGGGCTTATGACAATGCTGGCGGCTCTCACCCAGTGCTGAGACAGATTAAATAAGAAAAGTCCTTGGAGGGACAGATGGCAACCCCATACAAGATACCACTGGCTCCTAAACGCAGAAAGGTGTTCCTCCACCTCCTAAAAAGAGAAGCGAAAATTAAAACTACTCTGGAACACCGTATGTCACCTGTCGATTTGGGGAAGACCAAAATGTTGGCTGATGCTACAGCGGGCAGGGGGAGAAACTAGTGCAACCCTAGGGAGGGCGGATTAGCAACATCTACTAAACTGATCTCTGATCTGGTAGTGCTATTGCCAGGACTTTGATCTACAGATGGCCCCACAGCTGCATTGTTTATAATAGCAGGTGACAGGAAACAACCTACATGCCCACTAGTGTGGCACTGGCTAAATAAACCACAGGGTGTCCACACACCTGAACGCTCTGCAGCTGTGAAAAGCGTAAGGAGCTCCCTGTGCAATGATAGTGCAGAATCTCGGGAGACCGTTAAGTGGAAAATGGTACTGGGATATTTTTCTCCACCATCATGCAAGGAATCAGTCTGGGAGATCACAGCTTTAGGGGTCCCCCAGCCCCTGCACACTCTCTAGCCTAGCCTAGGCTCTGTGGCTGGTTGGAACGCTGGGTTGGCCCACAGAGTGAGGGACCCTGGGTGACCAGTGGCAGGGTGCAGGGAAGTCACACTGGTCTGACTCTGCTGACAGCTGTGGCTCCAGGCCCCAGCCCTTGCCCCACAGGCCTTTGGTTCTTCCTTGGTCTCCCGTCCTGGGACCTGTCTCTGCGGCCAAGCGAAGCCTGACTCTCTCCCTCGGGGAACATCCCTGCTGCACTTGGCTTTTCCAAAATCCTGGCTGCGTTGTCTCAGGGAGCCCACCCTGGGGCTCAAGTCTCCCAAGAACACGGATCTGTCCTTCAGCTTCCTGGGGACTCTTTCTTCCTCCTCCCACCCATTTCACAAGCGACGTTTTCTCAAGACGCAAGGTCACCTGAGCCGGGGCTCTGGTGGTAAGCCGCGTGGGTTCCGGTCCCGGCCCTGGGACTTCCCAGTGTATTCAAGCTCAGCAGAGCTACTTGCCCTCTCTCTTCTAAGAAACGGAGTTGCTAATAGCTTCTCCATTTAAGACCTAGTTAATAGCACTTGGCACAAGGCAAGTACCCAATAAATGTTACTACTATTGTATGGACCCCTGGGAGGCTAGCTTGAGTCAATCCACAGCCTATTGAGAGGAAATTTATTTCCTCACAGTTTCCCTCAACGGAACTTAGGAGGAGAGACTCATCTGGCCACACTGTGCCCTGCAGCCCTGCACCGGTGCTGGGGGAGGCAGCCCCGTCTGCCACGATGGGCTGTGTTGAGTTTCAAGACGTGTGGCCCAGCCAGCGCTGCCTGCCCAGTGTCAGCCTGCACCTGGCACCCCAGCCCGGGCAGGCGGGAGGGTGTGACCCCTTCTCTGCTGGGGTCTGTCTCTGGCTGAAGATGAAGGATTCAGGGGTGGGGCTGACACCTGGTAAAGCCCAAAGTAGCTTAAGTCACCCAGTTGAGTCAGTGGGGCATCTTCACTCTAGCTGCACAGCTCCCACACAGGTGAGAGGATGGGGGGCCCTCCCCTGTCCCTCCCCTGTCCGCTCTGGCTGTGGCTTCCTGTTAGAGCATTTAGCATTTAGCGCTCCCCTCTGGCCCCAGGCTCTGGGCACATCCCTGCCAGGTCCTAGTTTCGGTCCCTTGCTAGAACTAGTTTCAGTCCCTCACTAGAGCTAGAGCCTTGAAACTGGGCCATGTCACCTGTCTCTGGACAGGAAGCCCCTCTCCGCCCACCCCCTTGGTCCCCCAGCCTAGCCTTTCCTCCCGCCCTCTCCTGCCTCCTCCCTGCCGCACTTCCTCTCAGCCAGGGGGACTTTTCCTCCCTCTTTCCCAATGGGCCCCATGGCTCTAATATTCTGACATTCCCCAGGTTTATGACAATGCCGAGGAGGCAGCAGGAGCCCCAGGCCCCATCTGGCTGAATGCCACTCTCTGGAAGCTGAGTGGAAGATGGAAGCTCACCAGCAATTTTCCTTCTTAAAAAAGTGGCAAATGTGACCCAGGGGCTTTGTGCCACCGAGTGGTTTGCTGCTTCCTCGACTCTGCAAGGGCGGATGGGAGGAAGCCCAGAGGGGCACATTAACCCCCCCAGGCGGGGGTATTAACCAGGATTAGCAGGGAATTAACTGAGTACAGTTTGAGCCCTGAGACAGGAACTCTGCAGCCCTCAGGGCAGAACGAGGAGCCGATGCCTGGCCTGGCCCTGGAAGGACACGCTCTGCCTGTCCCCTCAATGGGCTCGCACTTGACCCCGACTTTCCCCACGCTGTGGGCACGCGCCGCCCTGCCCCCAAACAGGCTCACGAAGACGACACTCCCCACTCACAACCCCGCAGCTGACATGGACACAGGATGGACACAGTCTCCCGTAGGCAACAGGTAAGTCTCCACTCACGCCTCCCACCCGACCACTCTCACCCACGCGGCACACGCGGCGGATCCGCAGGTGCAAAGATGACCCCAGCCTGCCCTCCCCGCACACAGGCCACGGCCACTTACGGCTCAGCCCTCACCCAGGGCAGACAAAGCAATGTCCACTGAAGCGGTGCTTTTCAGACTTTAAGGAGCTCACTCATCTCTTGGGGATCTTGTCCAAAAATGCAGATTCAGGTTCAGCAGGTCGGGGTGGGGCCCGAGAGTCTGCATTTCCCACGAGCACCCAGGGAGGGAATGCCGATGCTGCATCACTGAGAACCATACCCTGGGTGGCAAGGGCCCCAGAGCACCTAACACCTGCCCCCAAACAAACTTTATGTTTGCACAACATGCGAGGGGGACTAAGGTGCTGGTGGGACTCTGCAGGCCACCGTTGTCCTCCCTGCTCCTCCCATCACCTGGTGGGCAGGTGGGGCAGCCTTCCATCTTATTCCTAATTTGCAGATGAGAAAATGGAGGCTCAAAGAAATTATGTAAATTTCCAAATCACATAGGGCAGGAGGTTGAGCAGGGTCCCAGTTACCTGGCTGCTTTGAAAGACAGCACAGCCCTCCTAAGCCACCTTCTTCCTTTTCCGGACACAGAGAAGGGTAAGTCGGCCCTCGCCAGAACCCTCCCACGCTCAGGAAGGTGTCAGGGAGGTGTCAAATGGCTGCCAGGGCAAAATACAAAGAGAAAGAGAAGCGACAGCCCTGTCACTGTCATACTAGCCCAGGACTGGAAATTCCCGAGCAGAAAGCCAAGTCAGCGTGAGATTTTATAGCCTGCACAGAAGACCCAGGTGACCTCCTGGCAGTGCTGTTTGTAAATCAAAGTTCTAAAGAGTAAAGGTTATCTAGGCAGCCCTTGGGTTATTTTTAACCTTCCCTCCCTTATCAGTTTGCTCCTTCCTGCTCCCCAGGTGGTTATCATTAACAGATACCACCCTCACCCAGGGTGGGGCCAGTCACACCTGGGCTTCAACGAAAGCAATGTGGGTGTCCCTGGTCCCGACTCCTAGGTGGATCCATGGACTGAAACAAGAGGGAGACCATTCAGGGAGATCCAGGTACAGAATGAGCTCCCGGAGGGGGAGGAGACCTCCCATCTGTTATGGGTTGAATTGTGTGCCCCCAAAATTCATAGGTTGCAGTGCTAACCCCCAGTATCTCAGAATGTGACCTTATTTGGAAATAAGACTGTTGCAGATGTAATTAGTTACAAATTTGGTGGGTTCCTAATCCAATATAACGGGTGTCGCTAGAAAGGGGAGACATTTGGGCACATACACACTGAAACACCATGCAAAGATGAACACAGAGGTAGGGGTGATATGAATGAAGTGTCTTACTAATAGCTCTTTTTAGCAGTGGAAGGCAAAGAACACGAAAGATGGCCAGCAAACTCTTAGAAGCTGGACGAGAGGCACAGAACAGATTCTCCCACACAGCCTCAGAAGGAACCAACCCCGTCACTACCTCGATTTCAGAGTTCTAGCCTCTGGCACCGCGAGACAATACGTGTCTGCTGTTTAAGCTGCCCAGTTAGTGGCACTTTGTCACGGCAGCCCTAGCAAACCAACACACCATCTCTGGAGGATTCCAGATGAGGCTGGACAGCCACTCCTCAGGGTCATTGTCCAGCGGAAATATTATGTGAGCCACGTATGTAATTTAAAATTTTCTAGTAGCTACATTGAAAAAGTAAAAAGAAACAGGTGAAATTAATTTTAATATTATATTTTATTTCATCCAATATATCCAAAATATTATTCCAACATGATAAATATTAAAAGGAGATATTAAATATGCTTTTTGTTTGTTTGTTTAGAGCTAAGTCTGAAATCTGGCCTGTTGTTTTCCACGTACAGCACAGCTCAGTTGACTCTGGCCACATTCCAAGTGCTTGGGAGCCACACGTGGCCAGCGGCTGCCGCACTGGGTGATGTAGGTTCAGTTCTTCCTCCCCTTGGTATCCATGTGGCTTCAGGCAATCCATCGAGCCTGTTAGAGCCTCCGTTTCTTCATCTGTAAAATAGCACACTAGTAGTCCCTCCACCAAGGGTTGGCGTGAGGATTAACAAGAAGGATGCGCTTAGTGGGCTCCTGGCACGTGGGAGCCTCCACAGCCGGGCACTGCTACTGTGCTGCAGGTTTGTGGGCTTCAGGCTGGATATTTAAAGACCTTCCCACTCCAAAGGATCATCCCATGGCCTCATTCCTCACTATGTTCCACACTCAGACCCACCTACAGGCTCCCCACCTGAGCGACTGAGTCTGCCTCCTCCAGGAAGCCTTCCTGTGCCCCAGATCCCATTTAAAATTCCTGGAGCACCTAGGGAGAGTCTTGCAAAGTAAGGCTTAATTGTTCTGTTAATTGTGTTATTATAGTGAAAGAGCTTTCAAGTTCCTTGAGGGCCCGGGATGTGCCGCCTCTGTTTTCACCTCTGGACTTGGAGTTCAGGGCCTGTGCAGTTGCTCAGTCAGGCACCAAACCATTATTGAGCACCTACCCTGAGTCAGCCACTGGGCCCTGCAGACTTAGGGTGCCAATTAATGGTATGCAACTTGATTTACCTATTTGTGCCTCTCAGAAGTCCCAGAAGAGGTACGCACCACCAAACTAGGGTAGCCATACCTCTGGGCTGGCCCAAGGCAGCAGAGGTCCTGGAACCTTCCAGGGAAGAGTTCAGATGGTTTCAGTAGTGACCTTTTCCAACGTGCTTCACCCCAGGCAAAGAAAGATGGACCTCAGGTTTTTTTTTTTTTAAAGAAGCTGGGATGCTGGGCCCAGGATGAGACATGGGTCTACAGGAGACTGAAGGTCACACCTTGGCCACCTTCCCCTCCCTTTTCTCTCTTGCCTGGATGGCACTTTGTGACTTGTTTACTACTGTGTTTCCCCGAAAATAAGACAGGGTCTTATATTTATTTTTCCTCAAGAAGACACCCTAGGGCTTATTTTCAGAGGATGTGTTATTTTTTTTTTAAGTACGGTACAATAATCTACATTTATTTAAATGTAGTTAACTCATCTTCTTCTGGAATATCATCATAACTCTCCAAACCCCAAATTCCACCCTGAATTTCTTGCAATTCTATTTCCTTTAGAACCATTGGCCCCAATCTCTCATGTCGAGCAATAGAGCTCTCATGGGGCAGATGAGAAGGGCTGCTGGTCTTCTTTACCACTCTGTGACGAAAGGCATGGGTTGTGCAGATACGCTGCGTAGCCACGCCCATCAGTGGTCTTATTGTCGGGGTAGGGCTTATATTGCGCAAATGCTTAGAAATCCTGCTAGGGCTTATTTTATGGGTAGGTCTTATTTTCGGGGAAATATGGTACTAGTCACACCCTGATAGAGGTCCCCTGGCTGGGAAGGGCAAATGAATCACCAGCGTAGCCATGGGAATGGCAACCAAGCCAGCCCAGCCCAGCCCCTCCTAATCCACTGCACTCTACCCCACAACACACAAACAGAGTCATGTGAGCTGAGTGATCGTGCCAGCATGGAGCCTGGCACGGGACAAGGAAAGGCCTGCGAAATAAGACATCCGCGCCCACTTCTGCTTCTGTGAGCAGTGCCTCTCGCTTCCCCTATCAGCTCTCTAACCGGACCAACCTCTACACAGATTACAGAGGGGGCATTTGTCCCCCAAGACCCAAACTGCACAAGTCTTCTCTGCCACCTCCTCTCTTATTCCACGGAGGCAAAAGAACTAGGTTTAACCTGACTGTGGTACCTATTAGCTGTGTAGCCTTGGTCAAGTTAGTTAACCTCTCTGAGCCTCAAATTCCTCAACCATAGCAATGATACCCAGCCCATCGGCTTGTGAGCTTTAAGTGATACGATTTACATCATAGGCTTGGAACAGTGAGTGGCACAGAGCAAGTGTGCGTGTTAACTGTTCTCTTACGATGGCAGTGATGAATACCATGTGCTCATATAGCATGGCAGAAGGCTTATTCAGCTACCAGAATGCACATTCAAAACACATGACATCAATTTTACCTGCTTTTTTGGGGTTTGTAGCCTATGACTTTTTGTTAAGGAATTTGTACTGATACAAATTGACTCATTCATTCTACAAATATGTACTCAGCACCTGTTAAGGAAGGACATGCTCTTAGTGGTCCCAAGAGCAGAGCCGGGGGATGTGATGTGGATGAGACGCTGTTCCTGGCAGCTGTCCAGACCCATATCCTGAAAGTTCCCTTCACGGTTCACCAAGGTGACAGCAGGTTCTTTTCCTGTGTGCCTATATACTGGGGCTGGCATGGCCTGGAGGTAACGTCCAGGAAGGTGAGGCAGGAGGGGCCTGTGCCCCACAATTTGGACCGGCGTTGGGATTTGGGTCCCAGCTTCACTTCTTCCAGCTCTAGTGACCTTGAGAAAGTCGACTGGCCTAAAGAGCCTCAGTTTCCTTCTCTGTTAAGTGGGCATAATCATATCTAGCCTGTGACCTCACAGAGCTGCTGTCAGCTTATATGTGTGAAAGCAAGCCTCCTAATAACTGTATTTTCCCCTTCATTCATTCATTCATTTACCCCTTATCCATCCACCCCAGCATCCATCCTTATTTTCGTTATCTGCTATCTTTCAGGGGCGATAGGAAGAGCTGGGGTCAGAGGCCAGGCGGACAGATGCAGGGAAGTGCTGACCACTAGGATTCAACAGTGAAGAGACCTACGGCCTCTTCCAGCCCTTCAGGTGCTGATATTGGAGGCAACAGACAGGAACCATCAGACAGGTTCTTGGGAGGGGCTGACCCTTCCTCAGTCCAGCCCAGGTGAAAAGTGGCTCCTCGGGTCTAGGTGAGAAGTAGCCCATCCTCTGAGCAGGTGCCCAGGGTGGACCTTCCCCATCTCTTTGACCCCAGCCAGCCCTCCCAACTGAACTCTTGGCCTTCTGTTTTCCCATTTCCTGGCAGGAGACTGGCTCTGAAAGCAGCAGGCTGGTAGGTTCCAGGCAGCATATCCACACTTAAGATAAGAAGTAGAAAGAAAGAGAGGGTCCAGCCATATTTTCCTCTTCTTTCAGAAAAGCAATGCTTCTGCACAGATTTCCCCTGCAGACCTCTGCTTATTTCTCTTAGGACAGAACTGGGACATGTGGCCACACCTAGCTGCAGGGAAGCCTGGGAAAAAGGGAGCAGGATTATTGTGATTGCTTAGACCAAAGGTCAGTCGGCAAACTTTTTCTGGAAAGGGCTAGACAGTAAAAATTTTAGGCTTCGTGGGCCATACAGTCTCAGTCACAACTATTCAACTCTACCTTTGTAGCATGAAGCAGCCATAGATAGGTAATACATGAGCAGGCCAGGTGCGGTGGCTCACGCCTGTAATCCTAGCTCTCTGGGAGGCCAAGGCGGGCAGATCGTTTGAGCTCAGGAGTTCGAGACCAGCCTGAGCAAAAGCAAGACCCCGTCTCTACTATAAATAGAAAGAAATTAATTGGCCAACTAATATATATAGACAAAATTAGCCGGGCATGGTGGCACATGTCTGTAGTCCCAGCTACTTGGGAGGCTGAGGCAGGAGGATTGCTTGAGCCCAGGAGTTTGAGGTTGCTGTGAGCTAGGCTGATGCCACGGCACTCACTCTAGCCTGGGCAATAAAGTGAGACTCTTTCTCAAAAAAAAAAAAAAAAAAAAAAAAAAGATAATACATGAGCAAATGTGTATGGCTGTATTTCAATAAAACTTTATTTATGAACACTTAAACTTGAATTTCATATAATTTTTGTGTGTCACAAAGTATTATTTTTTCATTTTCCCTAGCCATTTAAAAATGTTAAAAACCATTTTAGTTCATGGGCTGTATAAAAACAGGAACAGTCCGATTTGGTCCTCAGGCCATAGTTTACCAACCGTTGGCTTAGACCAATCACAGTCCATCGTTTGGGGCTGGGTGCGTTGTCAGTCCAGGGAAGGGGGTACGTGTGCCTGTGCGGGGAGTGGCAGAGGTGGCAATAGGGATGGGGGAGGAGGGTATTACATAGTCATAGCAGGATTTGAATTGAAACCATCCATCAGCCAGGCACGGTATCACACCTCTATAATCCCAGCTACTCGGAAGGCTGAAGTGGAAGGATCACATGAGCCCAAGAGATCAGCCTGGGCTATGCAGCAAGACACCATCTCAGAAAAAAACCTAAAAAACAACACCCCCCCCCACACACTGTCAGCCTCCATGGCAATATTCTCTGCGAGGCAACCTCACCATCAGGCATTGGCATTATGGTGTCAGCATTGTTATCAAGAGGGCCCAGGGACATTCCAACAGCCTCTTCTCTCCAAGGCCCCAGATGGGAGATCAGAGGAGGGGAGTGTGGGGAAGGGTCCCCAGGTGGCAAAGGTATGCTGCCCCAGGAAGAACCCTGTTACTGTGTAGCCCGGGCACCTACCTCCCTCTTAGAAAGCCTGAGGGGGCCAGAGCTCCTACACCCTCCCTTCTGGGCATGGAGGGGGGAGCACATGCCCCTGGGGTGGAGGATAAGGTGGGGGCTTCCTTCCCACCCTGGATGGAGCAGGATTTACTTTTCCCCTTGGCATTGGTAGACCTGAAATTGGGTCTGATTCCCAAGAAATGAGAAGCAGCAGCCCCTCACCCTGTGACCCCCACTTGAGCCCAGAAGTTTGGGGTTGCAATGAGCTATGATGATGCCACTGCACTCTAGCCCAGGTGGCAGAGAAAGACCCTGTGTTTAAAAAAAAAAGAGTCAATATTGGCTTTGGATTTGGACAGACATGATGATGTAGCACAAAGAGCACTGGATGGAATGAATTGATGGACAGGCTTCACGCTACCCTGGAGGGCTTGAGAAAAGAGGGTCTTGTATTGTTTCCTACTGCTGTTTTTGTGTTTGGGTGAGACTCTCTCCACCTCAAGCTTGGGCTTCTCCAGGGACCACATCTTTTACTTCCTCCCACCTCCGCCCTGTCCGCTGCAGAGCTGGGCACACTGTGGGCTCCCAAGTACAAGGCATGGCAGCTGGAGAGCCCAGACGCCTGCCCCCCACCCCCCA